TGACCGGATTTATTAAAGACAGTGGAAAGATTTACATCACCAGCATTGGAAGCTTAACCATGCCCCAAGTGAACAGGGAAATCAGGTCCAGTTTCAGATGGATAAACGTGGAAAGACAGATGATAGATAAGTAGATGATAGATATATAGACGATGGGAAGATAATGGCATTATATGTGTATATATATTGTCTAGATGATAAATTATAGGTTGATGAGAGGAAGGTAATAGGCTGTAGGTAGATTGATATATGATAGAGATAGATAAGTGGATAAAGAGTTCATCATCCTCGGTAGGGGATAAATGATCAATGACAGGCTGAAGGTAGATAGGTGATCATATAAATAGATGGTAGGTAAATGGATGATATAAACATAGGTAGATGGGCAAATGACTGACAAGTTGATGATAAATAAAACTTCGGGATTTTGAAATAAACTCAGCAGTGTTAGATGTATATAACAAAACTTCATTGTGGCTACGCTTCTTGACACTTTTCTGTGATTTAGCACTTCAACAAACACAATCGACTGAATGTAAATAAAAACCTGGGCACTTAAGTGGTTATAAAACTGTTTTCTATGAATAAGTAGGTGATATGCTAGGAAACACAGCCATACTTATGTAAGACATGGGGACATGAACACATGGTTGAAATGAAAAAAAAAGAATGGGAATTAATATTTAAAATATGTATCTTTCTTCCACAGTTTTTAAAGGTAAGAGTTGTCAGAGAAAATTTTTATTTTGTAATAGTAAAATTAAGCTGCACACGTAAATGGGAAAAGAATTGCTGATTTTATCTCTATCTGGTAAAATAATGAGACATCTTTTTGAAATAGAAATTTATTTGTAAAACTTTGTGTAATGTATAACAATGTACTTTTAACTCGAACTTTATACTTGATTTTCTCCATACAGCAACATAATATTTAAGGAAGAACAGGTGTTTGGGTAAAGAGATTGGGAAAGCAATTATGTCCTGATAATTTCTCAAAGTATAAGCGGCATTCACATTCTCCAAACATGTGCTTAACTTACCATAAACTTCCTAGACTTCAACAACAAAAAAAGCGGGGGGAATGGGAAGGGGAAGCAAAGTCAACTAATACTAAAACAAGAGAGAAATACAGCAAGGAATTCAGGTCATCACCCTGGAATAGGGTGAAACTTTCTATATGAAACAGTGTCCTGGATAAGACTTGACATTACTCCTCAGATGCACCACTGTGGTATTTACAGCGCAGGAGGCACCTGCCCTGAGAATAGATTCCTAGCGCTTCCTGCCCATTTCAGCAGTGAACTGAAGTGGTTCGTTCCTATGCTCTGCTTACTGCGCAAAGCCCAGGCAATGAACAAGGCAGAACAAGAAATAAGAGAAGGCCCACGGCACGAACAAAGACAATGGCTCCTCTCGTGAATCAGCAACTTCCTGCTTTGTGATACATGAATGTCATTAGTAACATTTTGATTGCAGCCGCAGGGACTGTTTGGAAGAACCACAGAGGTCACGGGACTTTTTTTCATATCCCTGCTGACAGTGGGAATGTCAAGGCAAGCCCTTTTCAAGAAGGTCCTTTGGGCTGCCCTCCTGTTGGAATTCTGTGAGAGCTCTCTGGGTTTTCAACCAATGAGAAGAACAAATCTAGAGACTCAGAGGGCACTGTGAGTGGATGGTCATCACTGAGGGACCGGTACCCTGCCTCACTGACTGTTTCTGCTTCTTCCCTGACTTTCAGGTCTGCCAGGCTTCTAATGTCACAGTTTACAACAGAACTATGATGGTGTCTGCTATGTGCGCTGGTTCGCTGGGAGCTGCAGGATCTTTTTCCTTATTGAAAGCTGGTGTTAAGAACAAGAGTGAAAAGAAACGTCCTATGCCCCTCTAGGAAAACCAGCCCCAGATTTCCTTATATACACTCACGGGTAAATACCACCTGTGTTAACTCTTTTTAAGATTAAGTGTACCTACATGTTTCTCCTGTGTTTTGCGGTTTTAACCATGAGTCTGGATTTTATTGACTATTCGAAGTCCTGTGAATGTAATGACTCAGCCAATCCAGAATTATCGAGCCAGACTTTTAGTGTAGTCTCTCTTCTCCAAATATATCAACCAAATATTTGATTTGCTTGATCTACATCAAGACTGCTCATCTAGGAATATTAGCTTCATGATCATTTGTATCAAAACGATAATTTTGTGAGTGCCGAAATACTCATGAATGCCCCCTAGGTTTTAATAGCTGCATATTATTTTACAAAATGTGATCTTGAAAATGCAGTATTTTCCACCATATTAGGACATTAGTCTTGGCAAAAAACACTGATCTTCAGAATTGTACTCTCATATCTTAGCAGTGGCCACAGAAATTTTCTGAGATCCACATGGCTTTTCTGAAATCCTTATATCTTAACCCCATCTCAAGTTTATTTTTTTTTCAAGAGCAATAACCCAAGCATAAAACACTACAGACTTCCCTGACAAAATATAGGAAACCATGACTTGAAGGGGAAAAAATAAATTGTGAAAGGAACAGCAACAAATCAGTTAAATTTCACATCCAGAAGCTAAAGAAAGAAAGAAAAAAATATACAGAGCAGTATGCACAAAAAATACCAAGGGAAGCTAGTAAACATTACATGGAATGTCATAAAAATATTAAATTATATTTAGCGATCAGTGACTGAGCTAGTAAGGAAATATAAATGCTCAATTTGATATCCATACAAGATATTTTTTTGCAACAAAAATTTGCTTTGGTGCTTAAAGGAATATGACCATCACTGCTTCAAAACTTCAATGTGCACAAACTGTCTTAGATACAATGAAAATGTACATCCTGGTTAATAAGTCTGCGGGTGTGGACATGATTCTATATTTCCATCCTTACTATTAATGTTGGTTGTTTTTCTAAAGGTATAAAGAGGAATTAATTCCCAATAGAATGAGATGTCAGGATATTATTCAAAATAGGTTCAGGTACCTAAACTAAAAACACATTAGTCAGAGGAATTGGCAAGTTCATGAATATAGTTCCTTTACCTTGCAAATACAAGCGTAATGTTGCAAAAACATTTTTTTAAATTTGAACCATGTAAGGGCCATAAATAATAATGCACTATTGGGCTCACCAACCACATAACAAGTGTGCCTGAGGGAATTTAATTGAGATATGAACTTGATCAACACACGGCGAGATTTGAAGCGAACCATATCTGTACCACACCAAGACAGTCAATAAAATTCCGAATTCCCTCAGCCTGCATTAGCCGTCCTTCCTAATGCTGCAGAATACGCAAAACAGAAGAAGATTTTTCCCCAAAGGATGTTTTTGTTTCGTTTACATTAACGGTAAAACACTGTGCTTTGTTCAGAGGTGGGGAATGAAGACTGTGTTCTTTGAGACAACAGATGTGCAGACAATCATTTTCTGGCTCTGGACCAGAGCACATCAACATGCGCACTAAAATAATCTATACACAAACAAGCGCAGGAGCCGTTAAAGACGCTAATGCAACCACGCAGCAGCCTGCATAGACAGGCCTTCTCCATACTATATGAATCCATGACCCTTACACATACTAGTATGCTGGGCTTATGCGATCATTCTGCCTAGTCAGGTTAAGCGAGATTTCTGTCTTGCCACCTCATCCGCTGAGCCCGGGTTCTAGAAGCAAATTCGACCCTCTCTGCTTCATGCTAAGCTTTTGCTCAGAGTGAGGTTTGTTTATAGGTTGCTTCAAAGAGTTGCTGAACTCTTGCAGCGGTTAAATTATTTGCCACATCTGGAATGGATAGAGTGTGTGCAGACAAGTGGGTGTGCCCCCCGGGGGGAGGAGGGGGGGGAACTGTAAATTATGCTGCTGTATTTTTCTTTTTAAAGCTTTGGCCTCAAATGTGCTCCCTAAGGCCGAAAGTACTCCTTCAAAATCTTTAAAACTTCATTGTGCATGGTATGTAAAGTAACTTCAGGATTAAAAACAACTTACACGAAAGCCTCACCTGAACTGTTGCTTTGCAAGTCTGTTTTCGTTTATAGACTCAGCGCGGTGCAGACGGTATCTGTAGAAACCTCATACCTATAAAAATCCTCTACCCCATAGAAAATAAAATTACCTGTGCCGAAAAATGTGCTGTGAACCCGGAAATGGAGTACAGTCTACGCTAACTTAAAAAAAAAAATACAAGTGATTTCTACCAAGTTGTTTCTTGTTTATTACAATGAAAACTAATTCAGGATCCAACAAGTCGGCCAGTAATATGAAGTAATATGCTATTTAATGAACTGACTCTGTGTATAAAGATTTTTTTTTCTGGGACTAACAATCAATCGATACATATGCCATCTCTTTCTCTCTCTCTCTTTTTTATTGTAAAGCAGATCATTCGAAGTGTTAGGCTGTGCACGGGTTGATTTTTTTTTTGGGGGGGGGGACAATAAAAACCGCAGTTCGTTAAAAAGAAGTAAAAACCAAGTTCTGTCGTCTTTATCGGTCAGAGTTTGGTCATTGGTATGTGGAGGCCCATCCAGAGCTGCTCCTCCTCTGATGGCGCGTCGTCACCATGGAATTCCACGCACTCTCTGGCGAGCCTACTGTCCACCGCGGGCTCCAGCCCGGCTGTGCTGGTCAGCCTGGTCCCCGGCGGCTTCCCTGTCCCCACGGGGCACGGGGCGAAGGTGACCAGGGTGGGCGTCCTCCTCGCCTGCTCCGTGGGAAACGGGCCCTGGAACAGGGTGTTGAGGGGCACGCTCTGCTCGCGCGCCACGGCGGACCTGGCTGGCTTTCTCCCGCGCCCCCCCAGCAGCCCGGGGGAGGGCACGGCCAGGCTGTCGGGGAGGCGGGCGCGGCGAGTCCTCACCACCGAGCCGTTCTGCGCGATGTAGATGTTGCCGTTGAGGTTGCCGTGGCCCCCGGCCGGCTTGCGAGGCCTGCTCCTCTGGGACTCCGGGGCGCTGTCCTCCCCGGCCGAGCTGCTCTCGTACTCTCCGTCCACCACCAGCTTGATCATTCTCCTTCTTGCCCACTGAGGAAAGAGAGAAGAACAGTCATTCTCAGGGGAGACCGGAGGCCAGAGCAAGCCACGGCAACACCTGGCAGGGCGGCAAGGCAAATTCTCAGCGGGGATTGAACGTCTTGGGACAAAGTGTTGCTGGGTCTGGAGGAAGCAGACCTAGTAGGAAACACTTTCTTTTCACATGGCAAGAACCGTGAGATGTGAAAAGAAAAGCGCATCATCCACATCCTGCTAAGTCCCAGCTCACTGTTTCGTGACTGTCAGCTTCCGTTCAGGAAGTTAAGCAGAAAGCCAGGAACAGACTCAGTTGCCTTTTTTTTTTTTTTTTTTTTTTAACCAACCATCGCTTCAGAAGCGATGCAGACCCAAACGTAAGCAACACTACGTTCTTTCTCCAAACAATATGGTGCTTGGTGGTGGTTGTGTGTGTGTGTGTGTGTGTGTATGTGTGTGTGTGTGTGTGTTGGGGGGACGCAAATGCTCTCTTTACACCGAATGCAAATTCTTTCTGGTCTCCGTGTGAATATTTTTAACTAGCGGCGTTCATTTGCCTGGAAGAAAAGCTGTGATAGGTCACAAGATACTTCAAACCCAACACAGACGGCAATCCCTATCCACTTTCAAGAAGACAGAATCTGAAGGCGGGAGCTGGCGAGCAGAAGTGCGCAGAAACGGTGACCCCTGTGCCCCGTTGCTGCTCGCCTGGCGTCTGCTCCAGCAAAGGCCACCTACCTAGGTGTCACACTCAGGGGGTGCCCTCCATCGCTACGGACAAGCGTCCCGGGCGAGGCCACCTCACAGCCAGCACCGACGGCTCCCTGCTCGCCGGCCCAGCAGGGAGCAGACAGTTCTGCCCCAACTGTGGCCCGCGGAGGTGATCCCTTTCTCTCTCGCCCTTCTGCTCGTGAGCCAGAGTAGAGTCTCGCTAAGCCCCCACCCCGCCGAGAGGAGAGGCGTCCGGGAAGACACACAGAGGGCACCGCACACGGGGGAGGCGCACACCACGGCAAACTCCACCTACTGCTGCCTCTCCTCCTAGAGGGCCGTGTTGTAGGCCTCCGCGTCTGCCCCCGGGGCTTTCTGTGGCTCTGCAGCATCCTTCTTTCGGTCGTAGTCGGGCACCTGGAAGCCCCAGGGCCCTCCGGAGAGACTCTCGCTGCTGCTGCTGCTGCCGCTGCCGCTCGGCTCTGCTTCCGACTCCTCGCTCTCCGCGCCCCCTTCCCTGGAGACCGACTCAGGGCTGCCCTCCTCCGGAGCATCTCCAGCCTCCAGGTCCGCGGACTGGTCCAGGGGCGCTGGCTCCCCGCCTTCCTCCGGCGGCTCCTCCTCCTCCTCCGGCTGGGCAGGCCGCTCCTCTCTCCTGCCCTTCACCTCCTGGCTCTCCTCCATCACCACAGGCCTCCTCCTGGCCAGCACGATGTTCTTTCTGGCCTTCTCCCCCTCCGACTCGGTGGACTCGGACTCCTCCGACTCCGGGGTGGAGCTCTCCTCCTCCTCCTCCTCCTCCGAGGGCGTCTCGGACTCAGACTCCTCGGTGGTCTCCGACTCGCTGAACTCCGACTCGGTCTCCGTGTACTCCGTGTAGTCGCTGGACTCCTCCTCGGACTCGGACTCGGACTCTACGGTGCTCTCCGTGGCGGCCTCCTGGTCGACCTCGAGCTGGAGGTAGTCGCGGTCCTCCTCCTCCGGCTCGACGCCCCTTTTCTCGGCCAGACCTCTGACTTTCTTAAAGATCATGGGGAATATCCTGGCTCTCTTCCACGTCGGGAAGGTGGGCTCGGCGGCCGGCGGCCTCTCTACGCTGACCGCCACCTCTTCCTCACTAGGTTCTCTAATTTCAACCTTGGGCTTTTTAACTTTCTCTGGCTCTTCCTGGAAGTTTTGAGAGTGCAATTCAAGCGTTAGGTTGGGGGTGGTTGGGACGCGATCCTGTCCCTCACGATTTAAGCAGAGATTCATTCATTCATCTTTAGAAACTATGCAAATAGTTTCTAAAAACCAACGACAATACTCTTTTCTGATGATAGAGAGAAGCTAGCTGGCAGGCAATAAGTTATTTTATTTTGGCTTTATAGTATTCATACCCAGATCAATGGCCTCCCTTTTCTGTTATTAACAGTTTTTTTTTTCTTTTTTAAATCTTGGTCCAAGAAAGAAATAACAAGGGCCATTTCCCTCTCTAGAGATTTGGCTTGTTAGCTTCCTGCTGTGATTCGGAATCTTTAAAAGTCAAGGAAATATGCATCAGTTAATCTAAGAGTTTATGAAAACCCTGTCTTGTTGAATTTTGGAACAGTTAGAGCTGCAGTTAACAGTCATTTCATGGAGGGGAGGACTGTCTGTCAAACACATATTGCGGGCAAGGTATAAGGATTCGAAAGGAAGGGTTCATGTCTTTTAGAAATGAATCCCATATTTTAAAAACATTAATGAGGAAATTTTATTCTCTGAAATCTGAAACACGAAGACTGTGTCTTTCATGATCTTTAGTTATTCATATAGGGCAAGAACAAGAGTTACCATGTATTGTATAATTCCTAACGTATTTGGTTCTTAATACTGTCTTTATGGAGACACACTCATGATTCTAGAAACCATATTTGATTTCAACCTTTTTTTCAGTTGTTTAGCTTTTCACACAGAAGGAAGTAAACCAGAAAAAGTTAAAGAACTTTCCTCTGTAGACAAGAGAATAAAATGGCCAGCACTGTTAACTTTCTTCGGAAAACAAAGACTAAATTGTTAGGAATTCTCAGATTTGGAATAGTCGGCAGCACGGTGGTCAAACCGGATCTAAGGAACCGTTATCGCCTTTCCATTTTTTTACGAGACAAAGTCAGACAATTACCTCTTCCTCTTCAGATTCCTCTTCAGCTTCGGGGACCACTTCGCCGTACTCCTCCGGGGAGGGTGGTGGCAGCAGGCGGCGGCGACTTCCATACTGGGGCATCTCATACCTGCAACGTAAACTCGGCCCGTGAGACCCCTTTCATAGGTGTGCGGAACCTACCGCAGTGATCCCTGCTTTCTTCTTTTTCTTCATCATCTCAACAGACACTTAGACAGGACCTAGTAAGTTCCTTCTAAAAACCAAACCAGACCAAAACAAAACAAAACACAAGACTACATGTTAAGAACCACTACCTGATAGCCAGAGGATTTTTTTGTTTGTTTGTTTTATTTTGCCATAATGGTTCCCTGGAATAATAAGGAAGATATTTGTTATTTCACATGTAAATTTGGGGAGAGACTAGAAGCAGGAAAAAGGAAGATATAATACTTCATAACTAAATGGAGAACTAAGGACACAAGGGAGATTCTAGATACAAATGTGTATCTCACCAAGGAAGCAAAAATCTGTTTGACAGCTTGCATGGAACATGCCCTGTGTGGCATTTTCATTCTGTATTTTTTTTTTTTTTTTTTTTAGATAGCAGGCTTAGGTTTGCAAAATTAACTCTCTCCATTTTCAAACTTGTTACTAGAGTCCTAAATACATTTTCTGTTTTCATGTTTTTGTTTTGTTTTGTTTTTCACTGCTCTGGCTCACAACTTCAGGTAGAATGGTTAGAAAAAATGCTAAACACAGCATATGGAATGAATGGTGAATTCAGGAATTGAGCAAACATGTTTGACTTCTATATTCCATTTTAATTATTATGAACCTTCTTAGCACATTTCTAGAAATACAAGCAGCATAAATGAAATAGCAAAATGGTGAGAACTTGACTAACATAAAAAAAATCAGGTACTCTATTCATTTTCAAATATAAAACTGGGACAATGACATTTTTTAAAAGAAACTCTTAGTAATAATAACTTTCAATTATTATAAAAAAGAATGCAATATAATTTTGAACGAAAAACTGAAGATGTACCCATGCTCATAACTGTAATAATCTTGTCCATATTCCTGGCCAGGATCAATCCCAGATTCCATGGATAGCTCCTATTGTTCAAAAAGAAAAATTTTCATTTTTAAATAAACTCTTCACATATTTCAGTTTTAAGTGAGATTTCCATACCTACAATTTGTGTCTCTCCAAATGCTCCTGTCAACGTAAGTTTAATGTCAAGTGTTGGTTAACACACTCCTGTTCTCACAATTTCAGCTGTTTTCATGGAATACGTTTGTTGTTAGATCATGTGTGAATGGGACAGCACAGTCTTCCTGATTATAAAACTGTAGACATGTTCAGGGGAGTAGTTTTACATGCTTTTAGGTAACTTCAGAGATTGAAATAGTCAACATTAAATTCCACGGCAGCTTATTATTTGGCTAAATGTACGAGGTAAATTGTTACACTGGCCTTACTTGTTCTGTCTTTCTGTTAGTGGTTCTGCTCCCTCAAACGTTTTACATCCTCTCATAGTAATTTACACATTAGTAAGAACTTCAGTTTAGTCCTTACACTAGGATTGAAGACATCTTCAACAAACCCTTGCTTTTATACCTTGCTAAGATTTCTTCTGACTCTTGATAATTCTCAAACTTGGCTCTTATAGAGACCTGTGCTTTGAAAAACAGCTTGGGTAGCTGTGAAATCAGTTTCCCACACACTTGCTTCTTAATTCCTTTATATTAATAAAGATGGCAAAGAATTTACAGTGGAATGAGAGAGGGGGAAGGGAAAAGTAACTATCCAAAGGGAAGTAGGTTGGTATACACAGATAATCTGCTATTGCTAGGAACTGGTTTTGTTAACATGGGTGTGGCATGAATCAGGAGCTACTGCCCTTCTGTGAGAGCACAGAGAACCACATATAAAGCATGGGAGTCCATCATCCACGTGATAAATATGGACAACGATGCTTAGTTACGTCATAACCTGCCAAATCATTTAAAAGGATTAATTGTGGCTAACCCTGACCAAAGCACTCTACTGGAAAGCTGGGTTGTGGGTTTCTCTTGTGAAGCCAATGCCCGGCACTGCTGGACGCTCTAAGAATCTTGGTGGCGCTTCCTGCCTTCCGTGAGGTCTGCCTACTACCCATCCACCCCTCTGCTCCACCGCTCTACTCAGCATCATCCTGAAACCCAGCCCCACCTTGCTCTCACTTCACGAAGTCTGTTTATGCACATTTCCAGCCAGCTTCCTATGGGTCCTAGGTCTGCGATCGCCTTTCTATGCTAATATAGTGGCAAAATGACTTTGCCACTTACAAAAAAAAAAAAAAAAGCCAATTCAGCTGTGATGTTGAAACTCACTTTGCTCATCAGGATAAACATTTTAAGAAATAATTAGCAATACCGTGTTACGGTGGACAGTGGGCGACCAGTACCCACGAAATTCTGGGGGAGGGGTAGATGCAAATTTGAAAAACCTTTTGGAAAATGTATACTGCGGCATATCCTTCACAACGGTGCAAAATCAGAACCAATGTGAAAGTCCGAGAAACCAGTGACCTGCAGCAGCACAGGATGGGCGAAGAGGCTGAGGTCAAGGACGAATGGAGCTCAAGGTGATATCCCACTTACAGGAGCTCAGAAGGGATGTACTCTTCACCAGTGCATGTGACAAGCCTGGAGGGTACTTAGGATGACAAAAATCGGTGCTCAAAGTCAACCCACGTCCTGGTAATGAACGTGAGTGCCCTCTTGAAGTTTCTAAGTGGGTGATGTGTGCTTTGTAGCTGCCAGTTTTAGTCCAGCCAAACCTTCCATTGCAGGAAGAGAGGCATCAAATGAAGGAAAGGCAGTAAGAAACGAGGACAAAGTTAAAGCTTAGATTTAAGTGACTCTGAGAAACAGGTCTGCTTCTCACCGGTGACTTCGGACTTTTAAGTGACCAATATCCAAATTATATCGGTTTACATTAAGTAGCCATCTCAGGAATGCCCCTTTTACACTTTTAATTAATGAATGCCTAATCTAGTATATACAAGGCACCAAGGAGAAACCTCCAAGTTGCTTTAAATGTAATTTTTAGTAATGATTTAGTTCATATACACCTGCACTTTCTAATTTTTATGGCAAGAATAAGACTCAGGTCTTGCTAGCTGCTGTACCCACTTTCAATATGGTCAAGATTAGAAGGGAACAAAACAGGGACCTCAGAGCACAGTGAGATACCATGAGGTTCCAAGCTTGGTCAGGAGAGGAAGAAGCTAACAAAAACGTGAATGACACCTGATTTAAAAAAAAAAAAGAAAAGAAAAGAAACAGAGGGAAGTTCTAGTGACAAAAAAGATCCCAGGGCTGAGCAGGTGACTGGACTCAGCTTTGTCACTGTATTCACAGGCCCTGTCTGCATCCCGCCCTAGTTAGTGAACCAAAAAATGGTTGTGTGAGTGGATCTAACCGTTAATTTTATTTTAAGGTTAGTTTCTGCTGCTGACACACACAGAACGCAAAGCTAACTCAGACTCTCACCACTATAGTAGATGTTCAAACTGCTAGAAGTCATAACAGTTTCAGTCCTGTTTGCTTAGCTTCTCCCTGCTTGTTGGTTGAAAGCTCAGGAACTGGAATTGACTGTCAACATTTTAGGCATTAGTGCTGGTCGGAAGACTGTCTCACTGAAGGCTGTTTGTGATCATGTGGATTGTGACCCTGAGTTTTCTGGCTCAGTCATCCGGGAAGTTTTCTTGACAAAAGTTTTTAATTAAAAGCTTAACATTAAACTTATGTATTTGTGTTCCCTCTCTCCATATTTGGTGTGTGTGTGTGTGTGTGTGTGTGTGTGTGTGTGTGTGTGTGTGTATGCGCACGCATACATGTATGTGTGATTCTAAAACAATAAATGCATTTTAGATACTGTTGCTAGAGAAAAGAATCAAATATTTGTAAGTGCTTATCAAAAGCCTAAATTAATCAAAAAGGATCTAAGTATTTCAAACTAGTGTTGCTTTACATTCATTTTTTGTCTTAGAGGCATATAACAAATAAGCAAAAGAAGGAGAAACACTGACTCGTGCACGTGCTGAGGGGAGCAGGAGAGATGTTGGAACCTTCTTCATCTTTGCCTGGTTTTAGTCTGACTTGAGTAAGGTGAGGAGTCCACATTTAGATGATCCCCAGCCCCTGGTCAGCCCTGGCTCCAGATATTAGTGGATGGGATCGGGGGAGCTTCACTCATCTGAACAGTGATTCTCCACCTTCCTCATGTTGTGGTGACCCCCAACCATAAAACCATTTCACTGCTACTTCATAGCTGCACTTTTGCCATTTTTTATGAATCCTAGTGTAAATATCTGTGTTCTCTGATGGTCTTAGGCAACCCCTGTGAAAGGGTTGGTTGACCCCCACAAAAAGCTTGCAACCCACAATTTGAGAAACGTTCTTCTAGAGAGAGGCTAGAAATATGTAATTTTAGCTGCCAGCAAGTGATTGAGAGTTGATTTCTTTTTATTGCTTACTTATTTAAATTTGAAGATGCACTTTCTCTCCTTAGAAAAACGGGGACCACATCGGAGGCCATCCCCTCTGCCCACAGGAATATTGTAAAGGTTTAGTGAGGTTGAAAAGAAAGCGAAAAGCGATACCTCAGGTTTAAGAAGAGAAGGTCTCAGCAGTTGATGCTGCCAAAGGAAATTAAAACAGGAAAAGATTTAGATAATAATTCAGATGCGAAATGCAGAATGCAATTGAGAAGAGAGGAATACAGATTACAGCTTGAATCTGTTGCTTGACGTATGAATCATCATTCACATGCCCACTGCCAAACTATTAGATACTATTTTAAATAATCACTTGGGAACCTAAGGTATATACAAAGCCATTTGTTTTAATTTGGTGACCTTAATTAACAAATTTATAATAACTTTAATAACCAACTTCTATAAAGATATTTTTGTTTAAGCTTCATAGTGTGAAGGATTACTTGGGATTCTAAAAATAAATGCCACAGGGCTATTTTGACAAGCTAAAACCTTGATTCAAGTTGTTTATCATCTTACTTTTCATTGCAAATATTACATCCACTAGGAAGAATAGAAAATTGGAGTGACTAGATGC